GATTTATAAGGGCAATCCTAGCGGAGCGGATCGCCAACAAATACACGTGTTCCAACATGGTAATGACAATAAGCCACACATCAATGACCATGACACCCAAAATTTCATGAAATACTCAAGTCGGAATATCTTTGAGTTTTGCCACATTTTTTTGAAGTTAAAACCTATCATTAAAACTTTTCTTGACTTGTTCGGGCTCAAATTTGGCTAATTCCAACACATTTCTAACGCATTTGAAGAAGTACTTTAAAGCTCTAATATTACACCAGGCGTCTTAATGTTTCGTAAACCTACATTGCAAAACAGTTGACGGTAAACCGTTCAGCTGTATAAATCTTCAAATTTTCATACCATTATAAACGAGGTGCAAGTTGGAATACAAACAGGAATACATGAAAAGTTTTGTGAATACGTATACAAATCATTTTAACAATGCAACTTGTGCTTATTAATGATTGTTTTATTATTTTTTAAAGTACATGAATGTTTAAAGGAGACTCTGTTGACACATTGCATTGATGAATGATTCGCAAATTCCCCTGCCATCTTATATTCTAAATCATACAACCCACAGAAATGAAAGGGATGACAAGACGTATTAGTTTCAAGTAATCTATCGTGGTAAACGATGATCGGGTAACATTATCAAATTCTGAATTTGACACGAGTCACCTGTATTGCTGTTGCTCAGCAGTTCCTGAAGCGGAATACAGATAGAGATGCTTGAAGGTGCCTCCCACGCGGACTATGAAGAATTTAAACGACCCAGGGGAAAGCACCTGTGAAAAGGGCTGGAAAGCGGAACATACCATTTCACTTGGGGGATGTGCAAGACAGCGGACATATTAATTTTGTTCACTACATACTTCAGCATTATAATTAAAAACACTGTATAACAAAAAACAATATTACAATAAGGACATAATATTTTTACAGTCTTTTGCTACAAAAAAAGACCCTTTGCTAAATCTCCAATGAGTAGTCGATGGCCCCAATGATAATGGTATGACCCGGCATATTGAATTCTGCTACAAAATTTAAAAGTACATTCAATTAGATGGTTTATAGTCGGTTTGCTTACTGTTATGCAATGTACATTTACAAAACAAAATGGCGTCTGGTGTTAGAAGTGCTCTGACGACAACATTCAATTCCACAGCATAACCCCTACAAACATGATTCTACCAAAATGTCCCGTATTTGACCTTGGTAAAAAGAGATAAATCTGATTGGACACATGCTGTAAAACATCCATCCAATCAGAGATGCCCTATCATACAGCAATAATCATCAAACAAAACTGAGGGCGCACTTTAATACACACTCGCTGAATGAAAAAGAATCTACCAAGCACTGATGTTGAGGTGATGGCGGAATAAGTTGACCTTGGTTTTAATACGGAAGATGCTGGTGCTGTACTCAACAATCAAAATTCTAACAAGAAATCATAACCTTGTCATCAGAAATGTTACCTCCCTCAGCTGATGCAGGACGTTATGAATTTTGATAGACGCATTTTAAAAATTAAACTTCAGTCACAAGTATTTAATTCACTGGACAGAAAGTGGTCAGCAAGGTCAGTAAATTTAGTTCACATTCAAAGTCAGAATCACTACTGCGAGTATATGTCAGTATTTATATTTAAAGAGTGTTGTATAAGCGGATATTACGCATACCCAGAATACTTGATAAATAGGGAAGTCTAATATTTTATATGCAGATCAATTTGTACATAGTAGATTGTATTCAACTACTAATGACTTTAAAAAACGATAAGTATGTATAAAACTCCATCCAGGACACTTTTTTTTTTTTAATAACTGGGTAACATTCAGAATTCCAACGTAAATTTGTCAACAAAATCACAACATAATCAGTATTATGTCTTGATTACCTTCTTTTATGCAAATTGAAAACACCCGTGTCCAGAAATTGGACAGAAAAGAGGATATTTGTACCAAAGGGCACTTCAGCAATTTTTAAGGACATCATCTAAGATGGCGAGTGACCTACCGTAGTGTGTTTCTGAGTGACATTAATACATGTACATGACAGACACCTTTACTTATCGTTCATATAATCAACAACAATTTACAATTCGAGGAACGATAAAAAGAATTTTGCACAAAATAATTAACGGTAGGAAAGCAAACGGCGTACAAGACACGACGTTGCGACTCAACGAAATATTAATGTGATTGAAATGACGACATGATACAAACAACTAATTTTCCATGATGCACCCGTGCACGATCACGTCTTAACAGGGAAAATTGTTCCATACGTAACTGTGGAGACGTTGCTCTAATCAGAACTGCCTCCGTTCAATACAACGTCAAAGATGCTGATCTTGGTCACAGAAAACAAAGCCAGGAAGAATTAAACATCAGCTACATGCATCTAACATCATCAGTTATTTTTTTCCCTGGCATCCGCACAGCAAAACAATGTAATGGATGGCCAACTTAAGCCACGCGCCTGGAAACGTCAACACATGGGCCTGTCAAATATGCGACGACACACGCACACAAAGCATTTACTAACCTCCAACAAGAATATGGTTTCACTATCCGTCTCATTTAACCATATTTCGAATTCTTCCAAAAGCAAAGCGCAAGAAGTCATTTCCTTGCACGCCGCCATTTTGTATGTAAATAGATCGGCGCATGAGCAGAAACGCGCACCTGGTTATGATTATTTCATTGGAGTCACTCTCAGACTTTAGCCAGATATTACACTTTTCCTATAACTTTTTTTCAGACAATTTGTATTAGACAATTTTATTTATACTTTAGAAGTTCTGTAAAAAAACAAACCGATTTTCACTTGGAATTTATTTTTGCTGAAGGGAGGATTCAGTGAGTGAAAAAAAAAAATCCAGCAAATATACCTTTTTTTGTACATTTTACACTCAACTAATTAAAATCAGTGAAGATGAATTCCATACAAAACACCAAAAAGTATTTTCAGCGAAAATTAATTCAAGGTAAAATAAAGTATTTTTCAGTATATTTTTATTAATTTATAAAGCTGAAGTAATAAATTCATATAAGAGTTGAAAGCATTATCCTTTGAATATTTTTAAATATTTTCTTTTAATAGAATAATAAGTGTTCTCTAAATGTTGAAGTTTGTATAATTGTCGTGTGGGGTTGGGGAGCAACAAAGGGCCATTTCATCAAGGTTGTGACCATTGATTTGTAATTTGTATAGATAAAAAAACGGTTTCAGCTGATCTTAAATTATCCTACTTTTATGTACACGTAGAACCTTTTATTTTTTTGCAAACTTTGCCTATTTGAGAACATCCCCCAAAGCATTGTAAATTATTAAAACAACTGTTAATTGATGCATTTAGACATACTGAAAGTCACACATTATTAAGTTAACAGGTTGCAAGTGTACAGTAAAATAAATAGGCATGAACTGAACTTTGTCCTATATCTGATATACAGGATGTTGAATAAAAAAATATTTACCCGGAAAAAACAGATTAAATGACTAAATAGTTCTCATTTCGAATTCTCATTCGAATGAGGGTAGTTAGAATTGTATTTCTACTATTATTGGTATGTTTTGGGGTTTAATATATTGGACAACCAATATTCTGTCAATTTTGAGGAGTTGATGTGTAAAAATAGAAGACATAATCAAACATCGCGTGGGATTCAACAACCGTATTTCGGGGACATTTCCATGCTTAATAATGTGCTGTCCACATTTGATGATAGGCAATTTTGATTAAGTAAGGGTATTCGGAAGCAATATTCCTCTCAGTCTGTCGAAGATCGGCCGGTCGGTGTGAGCTACGAAATAAGGAAATTCGAGTTCAAAATCAAATCGTTCGATTTTTGCGGCAGACGTTCGACGCGCGTCTTTCATGCATCTCGCGAGATCTCGCAATTGTACGGAAAATCACCTATTGTATTCCATGAAAGATACACAACACAACAGACAAGACTACTTCTTTGATGGCTGAACTGACAGTTCATTGCATTTTCTTTTGCTATTCCGCACAAAACACTGAAGATTCTACTGTAGAACGCAAACCTGTTGACCTCGGAAAATCCAGAGTCACATGGTTCGAATCGAACAGACATGCTTTATTCAAGGTACAGAGAATTAACAGTATTTAGTCAAATGTTAACAAAGAAATTATATAAAAGTGCAAAATGTGAAACCAAAGTTTTGGCAAAAAGAAATTAACATCCAGAAGGATGAAAATTAGTCTACCACACTAAGAAAAAAATCAAGGAATGTTTACACTGAACTGCTGTGTGTCGAGAAATAAAAAATTTAAGTTTAGCCTTGAGTCTGTCAGATAATATAATTCTGTCTTTGAGATTCACAATGCGAAGGTAATCTGATAGTGTATTGAAATTTATATTATCAACAGAAAACTCAAAGAAATATTAAAAACAAAATGGATTTAATTGTACCGTAAAATCTGTATTAGAAGCCGCATCCCTAATAGAAGTCACACCCATTCATTTTGAATATTTGAGAACCCAAAATTCATCATTTCTCATATGTGTAGATGCTGTAATAGAAGCCCCATTCCCTGTGTTGCATTGTATCATTTTAATAGAAGCCGCAGCTTCTAATACAGATTTTACAGTACTATGATTTCTGGTGATTTTTATGTAAATTAGATATCTACTGTAAATATGCAGTGACCCTAAAAAAATAATCACATCTTGGTTCTTGAAATGACTATGAGCTGGTTGAATAGTGGCTTATTTATGTAAATTAGGTCATTCAATATGCAAAGAAATTCAACCCAAAACTGATCATGCATGTTGAAGAGCATCTATGTACCAAGTTTCAGTGTTGGGTAGCTCTTGAAATATCATTGGAAAAAGCTGAAAATTGATTAATTGTACGGCACAAATTATATGAATTTCAACTAAAAACTAACTAGGCGTGTGCTTTATACCAGTACATGTATGTCAGGGGGTTCACAAATGCACTTAATGGCAGGCCATCATCCTGTAACAGACCAAAAAAAATAATAAAAAGGCTCTCAGCAGTGCGAAGAGCTGCAAGCGAGGCCGACGTAGTCGGTCAAGAGGGCAGAGAGTAAACGGACAATAAGGGCTTATAGCAGGCCATATGGCAGACTCCCAGTTTCAGAGAAATAATAAATTGTAAACTCAATGTTAGTTAAATGGTATATTTATTGCGTCCAAAATAAAATGATACATCAACGAAAGACAACAATTTCACAGAACAAAGATGACAGATTGATATAAGAAGAAGACTAAAAAAAAAAGTATCACATTCATACAAATATAGTTATATACATTTTTTTTTTTTTTTTAACAAATGGATTTGCCACGTGCATAATGGGAATACAAATTACTTTTATAAACAGGATGAATTAATGTGTACTTTCTGTGGAGTTCAACAAAATGACACAAAAAACCTATTTACAGAGACAGGATAGTCAGCATACTCAAAGCATATTTGTGATGTTGCACTCCAAAATAGATGCTGTCACTAGGCAACACTATTTTTCTTTTTTGATTCAGTAACCACTTTTTTCAGTAGCAATGCGTTTGAAGGTTATGGAATCACTGAAATTAATCCATAAAACTAAATGTTTGATTAGAAACCTACTTCAACATGCAGAAATAAAGTAATGCATGTGTTAAGAATACAGTTGATTTCACGCTGTACAGATATCAATCAAACAACACCACTTCTCAACACAATATAGAAATTGTTTTTTCACGGACTTTATGGTTGACCAGGTGAAGAAATGCGGGTGGAGGAAGGGTGCAGAGTTTGAAAAACAAAACAATAAAAGAACTGCAGAGAAAATTTTGAAAAAAATATGACAATAAAAAAAAAAACACATTCACATTCCTCAAACAATAAATTCATCTCAAAACTAAGAGAAGGGAAAGTACGACTGCAGCAAGAGTTGTTGTATTGGCAGCTTAAAACAGTGATACCGGTAAAACAAAAAATAAATGACAAAGAAAAGGGACAAACAATATAAAAAAATTATATTGAATAGAAACCACATATAAGTACCAAATATGAATGAGAGTAAGTTATGGCAGTAGAACATTTCAATGAGTTATTTTTCCTAACACAATATGTAAGTTAATATTATTTAAAAATTCATATATCATACAATTTACCGATATTTTGGATAGATTACTGGTAAAATATACATCACAGTGAAAAATGAAAAAAAAAAAAAAAACATCCATAAAAAAATTGTAAGAATTCTATCACCTATATAAAATAATATCCAAATACCTGAATAAGAACGTTTGCTAGTATCACCATCAAAACACACACATTATCACCCCTTAAATAGAAACGATATGTCATAGTTCATGATACTGTAGAATACTTTATTTTCGCTTGGAATTTATTTTCGCTGAAGGAATGATTCCGTGAAAATAAAATCCAGCGAATATACTGTTTTCCCTATATTTCACATTAAACTCATGAAAAATCAGTGAAAATAAATTCCAAGCAAAACACCCAAAAAGCCTTTTCAGCGAAAATTAATTCCCGCGAAAGTAAAGTATTCCACAGTATTCTAGTTATGATCGGTATTATACTCAAGTCACTTCAATTCTGTTGAATCCAGCTAAATAGAATGTTGAAAATGATAATGCTAGTAGTACTTTTGATCCGAGGTGATTGTGTAAAATAAAATACATTTTATAGTGAAATAAATATGTGAAAACAAAAAAAGATCACAACTTGAGATATCTTAGACTCATGGTGTATCACATTTATGATGGTTATATTAGTATCAAATATTTAAAAATCAATATTATACCCAAAGGCGTAGGAAACCTTACACAGCAAAGACAGGTATATATTATCACTGCCTGTGACATTTATCCAAAAACATGTCAGAGAAAACTCAATTCAACATATATCCACCATTCCAGTCATTATATATATATATAATATATGTGTATTCTATAGGAATACTCATTTTATAACATTACGACTGGGCTTGTATCTGTTGACTTGAACTACCAGGAAAATAGGCACTTGACAGAGGAGGTTGCGTTGGCATTGGTTTGTTACTTCCAAGTTTTGGTACAATACCAGCTTGACTGAGTCTTAGAGAATTATGTTGCGGCGGTGTAATGGTATGGCCAGTTGCAGCTGAGGATTGCATCTGTGTTGTGGCTTTGCTCAATCCTTTTATCGATATCACATCGTCTCTTTTCTGCAGATATTTAGCATCAATTAGGGGTTCACTGTAGAAACAAATTCAAAATATTAAGACAGTGCCAAGTACAGGATTTGTTGCATGGAGGTTGATTAATACAGATTTGTTTTTCACTTCCTCAACAGTTAGGTGCTTCAAGTAATTCACCATTTTCTATTTTAGTGTTGGAATAAAAATGAAGTATGCTTAACAGTGTCCAGGCCAATTTTCGAAATATCCATTGATGTTCAGAAACATGTAATTTTTTTATGTTAGTGTGTAAGGAATATATATCTTTATTTCTCTGGGCAATGAAAAAAAAACATTTCAAATTTTTTTTGGAGAAAAAAATACCCGAATTCGTTTTTTTTTGGCTCAAAGTTGTTTTTTTAATTTATAATTAGGTCCATGATGCCCCTTTTTCTCTTTTTTAAAAACGTAGTCCTGACATATTGTAATCTCATAATTTAACAGGTACCCACGGTAGTAATATTTTTTTCTCCATTAGTGCCATGTGTTAATTCTGTAACCAGCGTAAATTATTATAACTTTTATCTCAAAAATAGGTCCATGATCCCATTCCCCATGACCTTTGTTTTTATGTCCCTTTATGACATGTGTAAAGGGGGCTTAAATACCGTCCCGGGGAGCAATATCACCAGCAAACTTTTTTTGTAATAATTACGACAGCTTAAAAGCAGTTGTGAACACATGCTGGTGTGAGAAGACTTAAATATAGCTTACCCTTTGAAGGGGTATCACAGGCAACCATTCATAATGAACATGTATTGGTGTCTGAATTTGAATGCCTCAGTCAATTTGTATTTGTGTTTATCTTATTTCAACGTAGAAATTTAATGCAGTTTAAAGTTATTATATATTGATTTGTTTCATGGTTTCAGCTAATTTATATGTATGTACATTACTATTGCATTTTACATTAACTATTATTGCTTGATTGAAAAAGTATACAACAGACAGAAACATAAGGTCAATCAAAGCATTGCCTCATTTACAAATCAGCGCAGTTTTGCACTTTATCCAGTGACCTTCATATTTACGCATCTTGTGAGAAACGCTGATGGCAATATTTAAGATTATTAGCTTTTTCAATTATTGAAACTAGAACTGACATAACCATAAAATAGAACGATCAAATGTGGACGTGTGCAGACAAAACTCTGAGTGACTTACCTTGGTTTGCTGGACTTTGCATCAACTGGCGGAGTAGATGACTTAAATAGTCTCGGCGAGATTTCTTCAGGTATTGCGGGTACATTTGCATGTGTTGATATTTGTAGATTGCTTTTCCGCACTGCCAGTGGATTATAATGTACCTAGAGAAGTTAATACATGTTGAAGTTTAGAGACGCAGATAATAACCATTCATACAACAGCTGACAATCCAATCGTTGTTCTAGCATTTTTGAAAGAAAGACCCAAGTATAGGAGCTTGTAGGATTTGCGCAATGATTCTTTATCACATCATGAGACCTGGACTAATTCCAAGCATACTGCACCCAGTAAATTTTGCCACTCCGAGAAGCAGAATCCAGGGTTTAAATTAACCCCTGCAAAGACTGTAAAAGTGTGTAATAGAAGCCATGGATTCAAATAAAATGATACAATACAACAGGGGGGATGCAGCTTCTATTAGCACATGGAAAATGAATCTCAATTGTTCAAAAAGAATGGGTGTGACTTCTATTAGAGCATCTACAGATATGAAAGATGAGAATATTTGGTTTTCAATTGTTCAAAAAGAATGGGCGTGGCTTCCATTAGGGGCGTATAAACAAAATCTTGGCGAGGGAAATAAGTGTTCAGTAGGTTAATAAAATCAAAAACGTATGAGAATCATGAATATATAAATAAGCAGCAATTAATTTGCAATAAATAGTTTACAGTTCTAAAACAATTTCCTATAGGTAACCATACTTGTCCGACTTGACTAAGTGCCCATGCTCAACTACCCCACCCCCCCAATATTTGGGGCGTTTCTATTTTCAGGGTCCATTCCATATTTAGTTCACCTTTCAAAAATTGCTAATTACCAGTTTGTTTGTTTTTAAATCATGCCAATTTTCTGTTGAAATCAATTCCAACAGATCAATATTTTACTTCCACATTGCGTTACCAGAATGCCTTCAGGGATTTGCGGAAAGCGGAAATTGTTTTGCATCGCTAGTTCTCATATGATCAAACAAATTTGACAATGAAGAAAATGAGATCTTCATTTTGACTATTTTTACACATGCCTTAATTACGTCATAAATTCTGATTATACATAATCAATATTGTAATTAAATGTGCTCTTTTTTTATGACCATCTCTGTTTCTTCATTGTAGTAGTATTGTGAAATCAATGACGGCAAACTATATTATATTATTTTTCCCAAAGAGAAGTAATATTCCTCCTAGTCTGGAGATGTAAAATTGTCATTTGCGTAATGTTTTGACTGGGGTAAATAAAGCAAAAAAAAACAAAACAGGATTTCTGGAGCTGAGTACCTTGGGCGCTAAGTCGGACGAGTAAGATACTTAGGATACAGTAGCTTCAGAGCTTGAACTTCGTAGTTTTGAAAGCACCCATATATAATGAACATTTTTTGAAATGAATTGGACTCATCACAATTGTGAAAATTTCCAAATTTCATTGGGCATCAACCTTACGTGAAGTTCGAGCCACATAGCCAATGAGAAAGCATGTTACAAGGCACCATTACCTGTAACTGGGTTGGTTTAGATGGTACATTAGCTCTGTGATAGTGATGTGGATTATTTACACTACCAATGCTACTACATGTGAGGTGGCTAGCTGTACTATAGTTCATACTGCTAGGAGTACTATAGTTGTGGTGCTGTGGCTGCATGAGACACCAAGGAAGGAAGAAACAAGGATAGAATGTGGTTATTTACCCATATATATGGAAGCAATAAAGTAGTGCGCAACTGTCAGTGATTAAAAGGTGTTGATTGTCACGCAGAGCATATTTGAATTACGTGTAAACATACAGTGTTTTTTCACATGTATCAGATTCCATAGCACCAAGAGCCAAATGATTCCCAAACTTTCTTGCATTTTTTCGAGACATTTTGACCCTTAATTCAGGCCAACATCATCACCAAAACTCATCAAAGTTCTGAGGATATGGTAGTTCCCTGGAGAAAACAAGCCTTTCTAAAATGAGTTAATAACTATGAAGAAATTTAAAGACTTTTCAATGAATTTTGCCAACACTATGGACCCTGTGTATTGTAAACACCGCTATGCGATCCAAACCGAACACAATACGGCGACCATTGTCCTTTAACAAACTAGGTGTTTAGTCATTCATTCAAAAAGCTAATTATCTAATTATTTAGACAGTTGCAGTAAACTGAGGAATTTACCCATATGTGAAATACAAGAAGACACACTTGTTTATGTTTTGCTCACATCTTAGTAGAGCAAAACTGAGCACAGCATTGAAGAAGTACAAGATTAAAAAAAAAATATCGGTATAGTCTTTTTTTTCACAAAAAAAAAAGTTTGGTTGTAAAACAGAAAATCTGATGTCTGATTCTATTTTTTAAAAATGTGACATGTTAAATTTCACCAGATTTATATATAATAGTTTGATCAGATAAATTGTGTAGACACTTATTTTCCTGTCTGATAATGCAGATTGGTGCGCTAAATCTGATTACGTAATCCAGATTTAGAAACATGATAGCAATATGGACATTGTGTATACATAGACATTAAAAACAATAACACCAAAAATTAAATTTAGTTTTGGTCTAGTGAGTCAGTTTTATTTATTACAAAACTTACCATTGATGGATTAACGATGGGTTTAAAAGAACTAGTTGTGGTGGTACTTGGAGGCATCTCAAATGTACCATGACGCTGCGTTAACTGTGCTTCATTCACTTGTTTATTCAGCCAGTTGATGACTGTGGTAGAACAGAAATAATATCATGTAATTATTCTTTGACACATGAATGCTCTAAGAATTCTTCAATTTCAATGAATTAATGGTAAAGCTTAGCAGATTCTAAAGAAATATTATTACCATTTTCATTTGTCTTCAGTAGTTGTTTACTCTCTTCTAGTTTCTGCATGGTGTTTTCTAAAGATTCGGTTAATTTCTTGTTCTGTTGAAATTACAAATAAAACTATAGATATTATAATAATCATATGGCAATATGGTAGTGGATGTAGCACCCATAGTCAATAGACCAGATTCCTATCAAAGTTTCAACACTAAACAGAGGTCATCTACACCTACCCTGGATAAGTGTGCCACTGGGTGAGATTCTTAAAGGGCGGTGGTCATCGCGCAGCGTGTTTAAATTTCATGCAAACGAACAATGTATTTTACATGCGTTGTGTACGTCGCTATGAGTCCTATATTGAACAGGATAGGGCATTATGATCACCGACCTTTTTATGGTTTTTTCAAGTGTGTGAATTACAATTATTCCAAATAAAAACATTAGACCAATCTACCAAAAAATAATGAAATGCCATCCAGGACACATCAAAAACGTTCAGAAAAGTATGTATTCTTGTTTCTCAAAAATCTATGCTGCAAGTTCATTGTTTACAATAATTTAGATGGAAACAAAAAAATATGACACAGGGTCAAGTAGTTAGCCAATTATATATTTGAATTCATGCATCAGGACATTCATGGCATCCATATATGGTGGCCATGAACTCAAAGATTCATTTTACATTTATCACTGGTACGATGAGTTTTGATTTCTGACTATGGACCAGTACATGGTGATTAAATGGCGAATATAATTTAATGAACACAACACGTAATCAATGTACATCAAAATTTACAACTCTTAAGGAACACTTCCCTAACTGATTTCCATGTAGTGTTATGCATAAAAAATTAATTAAATTAAAGGGAAACAATTTTAAATTATTTAAATTATAAGATGA